CAATACAAAAACCTTGGATATACCAATACTGTGTGTACGACAGCGTACGACAGCCTCACTCTGTCTAACTACGACATGGGACAATTTGTTCCTTTTTTATTGAACCTTTATTATGTCATACATACACGCTTTCGTTCAAAGAGAATTCACAGTGGCAATGTTGGATAAAAAGGATGACGACAATTGTGAGACATTAAAAATAAAACACAAATTGATTACAGTAACTGAACTGTAAAGCTCAGAACCAGTTTTCGCTTTGTCAGTCAGATAGAAGTGGAAGCGCTTCTGTCCACATACATACGTTATGGGATCAGTCGACGGTTGCAGTGAGCAAACGAATGGGATCGTTGGGTCGATGTGTAGTGGGTGGATTCCATCAAATAAAATTTTGTTTTTGTAACATTTAAGCCAGCATCAACACGTCCATCACAAATAATGCTGATTTGAACAGACAAATGAATAGGGAAAACACTTGTTCATTTCTAGCCTACACCTCAGCAACTTAAAGTCTGCCCTTAGCAAAGAAGGGAGATTTGCCATAGAACAATAAGGAAGTATGGGGAGAACACACTACTGAACAAAAGTTCTCATTAACGACTGGTCAGTGCAAAACTGATGCAATCTCGTTTGAAAGGAAAGTCCGTCCAGCTTGTGAACAACAGTCTGAGTGTGTACAGTACAAAGAAGGTTATTTTCAAAGGTAACGCCCTGGTATTTCAGATGACTGATTCTGTTCATTGGCTTTCCACTAATCCGCACATTTTCAAATTTGAGAGTAGAGACAAGTTTGAGGTACTTAAATTGTTGTTAAGACCCAGACCGGATGAAGGGAAATATGTAATAAGACAATGTATGCTTTAGTTGTAAGTCACAAATTCGAATGGACTAGAAATAGAGGTAGAAAGGATAATATCATCAGCATAATTCAAATGACAAACGGGGGGAGTAACGCAAGTCAATTATATAGATTATGAAAAGCTTAGAGAAGGCAACAACACATTGTGGCACACCTGAATACTTCAGTGACACCATTGTACGTCTTTATCTGAATTTAATAATGTGATATAGTTAAAGGAATCAATCTTTAAACCATTCAAGAAGAGAAAGATGACAGTACAAGATTGAGGTCTTTCAATTAGAAAGGAACAGGGCATTAAACATTGAAAGCTGAGAAGCAATCAAGAAAAGCACCGTATACATATTTGGATTTAGAAACTTGCTGATAAAATGAGCTAAGAGGCTGCATTCAGAAAGGTTAGTTTCCTTCTGCGTAAACTGATAAATGTCATCGGGATTGTGAGCTATAGCTGAAGACTTTTTGAGGAACCAATAGCACCATCAATTATTTATCCGGAAAACGTATATGAAATTGACCTGAACCGGTGTGTTGTGCTTATGGAAACGAGTACAATCCCTAAAGGGGGCCAACACTCAGGACAGATTGCGATTGGAGGGAATCATTGTAGGCGAGTGTCCGGATTTGTGATGAAGATTCTGCACCAAGTTTAAGTAGTGCAGGACAAAGATAAACTGGACCGAATGAAGATAATGCCTCAGAGGAACACAAATGTCTGCATGTCTGTTCAGGATAAATCGTTTCAAAAGAGGAAAAGATGTCGGAATCGAGTCAATGGTTAAAGCATGAAATGAAGAATGAACGCAGCATTAATTTGGTAAATCTCAGCGAAACAGCTGAGAGTTAATTTATACATACATAGATAAATGTCTTTTGTACTTCCTTTTTTTTGTTTACTGAGTATTCAAAAGTAAGGTGAACTTTCAGTAAAAGGGCCGTGGCCATACAAAGGCTGTCTGTGGAAATACAGAAATGGGGAAGATGTGCTTTGGTGTCGGGTTTCGAATTCAGGACCTCCAAGTAGCCATTTTGATAAACTTCACCACTTGACATTGATTCTAACAACTTAAGTATTGTTACGCTATCCATCCGCGTAAGCTTGTTGTGATCAGTTCACTTTGCTTATCATTGTACTAATCTCTGGGGTAAAGATTTACTCGGGAACGTTCCGAACCCGGCTATTTGAAAGGGAAATGTGGAGAATAAAAATTCACTTATAACATAAATGCAATCTACAACGCTTAATTTAGAACGAACCCATGGTAACTTCAAGTGAATCTGACCTCACAAAGGGATAAGTGTATCGGTTGTCACACGTCAGGGATTGGACCAGGGCTATATACGAAGCCCCATTCAGTGAGAATGAACTAAATTTTCCATTGACAACCAAAAATACTTTTTGAAGTTTATTGCTCAATATGAAGTGCTAGTATATATTATTTTATTCTCACCCTAGGGTGTAATATATGACTTGTAAGCATTGTACATCATCGGTTTACAATTAGATGCGATTGGGTTTGCTCAGTTCGACAACGACAACGGACTCCTAGTATATTGCCATGCGCATCCGCTTAAGAGGGCTGTGTATATTTGCGACTCGATGTATCTTGTGGGGATGACACACATTGCCAAGAAACAATGTAGCCAGTCTGGATCGCGGAGAGATTCTTTAACTCTGTGATGAATTTTAGTCCAGATATCAAGGCAGGAATACACCTATCATTCACAGAAACTAAGCTACAGGTTCTGAATGGAATCTTCTTTACGTAAGCGAAAGTCGCTGATCAGAAGTAAAGTAACCGCGGGTCGAATACTTTACTTATCTTACATAAATATCCCATGAAGCACCCGGTACAAAATCATCATCATTTGTATGAGTTACCACCTGTCTCACTCACTAAACTAGAGGGATCGCACAAATGTAACCAGGCTGTGAAAGGATGCAACAAGGATAAGAACCTATGTAACGAAGCTCAGTAACGAAGGAAGGCGTTTGTCTGTTTGTTGGCATTGGCATTGTAAATGAAATGCAGTAAACAGTAAAGGGAATTAAAGTGAAAAAATACTATTTCTGTTGGCTAGTCAGTGATTTTCAATTGGATGTTGCTGTTCAGGTGAAATACTGCTAATTCTTTCACTGTATCTTCATGCAAGTGTTAAGTATCTTGTCAAGTGGGCATCGCAATGCCAGAAATGTATTGCTGATTGCATTTGGTTTAAACGACTCGGTTTTGTTCGAGGGAACCTAGGCCTCAAAGGAATTTGCTTACTAGGTTATTGATGGTCTAGATTGAACCGACTCATGTAATAGTTTGTCCCAACAGCATAGTAACCGATTTATCGATCTATTTTGACGTGATGCGCTTCCTTATTCATAGACCGAGGCCAATTACCGCCGGGTTTATTCATTCTCGTACTAAGCCCACTTGACCAACAGAAAGGAGTATAATGTTCCCGGGTTGGGGGACTAGCAGTTGAATTCTACCCCGTCTAAATTTTCAACATCAATCAGTAACTCAATCACAAAGTATTTTTATGTAAGTTATCCCCCTTTACTTACATGAAACAAGTAGTCTGGTTCCGATTGCTTCCAACCGAGTCATAACCCTGGAGGCCAATGCTGAGAAGAGCGAGGTCCGTGGCCCGTAACAAGCTCGCACTAATGGGTTGTGCTATATCGTGTAAACGGAAAATGAACAAACGGTTTGATCTGCTTGCGTTCTACCTGTGAGGTTCCAGGTTCGATCCCCAGTTGGGTCGATGGATTCGCACTGTTGATGAGACGCGACTAGGTCAAAACAGCTGTCCAGTGCTTCCTAGCTTTTCAGTTCAAACTTTGTTTGTTATATACACGATGAATATCCCCTTTGAGAAATTATTTTTGTTTTCCACGGAGAAATTAATTCACTCCGACTGAATGGGGCTTGCATTAACCCAGTCCAACCGACGACATGTGACGGCCGAAGCATCTATCACTATGTGGGGTTCCAAATAAAATGCGATAGGTTGGATTCACCTGCAGTTACTACGGTTTTACTTGAACTTGAAAGGGTATCGTGCAGAACAAAATAATCGTCAAAAAGGGCCTCACATAAGTTAGGATAGTCGTCACGGAACGAAAGGCTTATTTTCTAGCCAATCCCTGACAGAAATTATCATCGAGTGCATGATGGATGCAAGTTCCCAATTCATGACTCATATCCGAAGGGAAAGAAAACTGAAACAATGTTAAGTTCATGTCACTCCATCCCATCAACAAGTGAATAAGTAATTTACTTTTCTTCTTTTCATTTTATTCCTGTTCGTATTAATTAGCAATGCGATTACCATAAGATTTAACCGTATGCGAAACGGTGCAAAACAAACGTAGGCACCTTTATTTATGCATGAGTATCGTTGAGAGAATGTTAGAGGACGATTTATCGATCAGTCGGATGGCTCAGAAATTGATCATACTGTGAATCGGCTTCCCGGGTGTTATGATAGCTCACGTAGATTGTTTTGTACTCGGTGTTTTATAGCAAAGGTGTGGGGGAGGAGGGGGTGAATGATAGGGCAAGTTAGAATATGACCTTTAATCATGTGACATGCTGTGGACAGTGCCGTTCGGTATCGACTGTAGGTGTGATAATGAGTAGAGAGGTCCATAGACTTATGACCGGAGACTCTTTTGGGAACATAAAATGCTTTTTCTAAATTTACAACCTTATCACCAAAGAAGTTTTTTAACGTGACGAAAAGGGACCAGGTGCACGGATGTTCTTTTACTCGGTAGATGACAACGCGTTAAGACCATAACATGGCATGAAATATCTCTGTCGCAGCATCTTATTGGTTATTCTGAATAGCATCGATGAATTTTTGGCCGTTCCAAACGATAGAGGCACTCGAGTTGTTCTAGCATTAACGGAGCATTGGATTTTGAGGAATTACGAATTGCAGGGATTTATAAAAAAATTTATACTTTGGGANGGGACGTATAGTGGGAAGAATGCTTACCTAGGATGGTATGAGTGTGATAAGTAGACAATCCTTGTGAATCAACTAATTCTGTAATTCTGTACTGTAAGATAAATTATACTGATTTCGAAGGATCCTCAGTCTTATATCACTAAAATTCAGAGATTTTTGTTCTTTTCCCTAGGCGACAAACGGTGAATTCAACACGGTTTTACGAACCTCTCATTCGGCTCTAACACACCCGTTGGATACCAGTCAGTGCTTGTCATTATCTCAGCCAATACCACTATCACCATGTTATCAGCCGAATTTCCGATGTCAACCAAGTGGACACGCTCAAGGCTCCGGCTCGTCAGACACCGGAATCTCCAGTCAAACTACAGATGAGAATGACGATGTTCTTAATCTGAAGCGTACAACTGTCAGTGTGTCCAGCTCCGCTATGCCCAATCTGGACAAGATCGCCAGTTCCCCTTATGGTACGTTAGTTGGCCTCTTAGAGTCCAACCAGGTGGACCAGATAAGCACAAAACCCGTGACTGTAATGGATCATTTCTGTCCCCAGCATGGTCATGTGACCTTATCGTTACAACCGGAGGGGAACTTTAAAAGCACCCTATCCCCAGTAGTGGAACATGAACCCCTCAGTACAACAAATTGTGTGAAAGTAGACAAGAACGCATACGTGTATACCAGTACGGATTTGCTATCCACTACAAAGATCGAACTGAATCCGATTGCCCAATCAGATCCAACTAGCCCACTACTTCCTCTCTCCCCATCTGAGTCGAAGCAGGCGTTAAAAATGGATAATGACGAGGATGTATTAAATGAGTCCCCTCTACGGAGTACATTTCACATGGAAGAGAAACAAACCAGATCAAACAATGCGATATCCGCCAATCAATACTATTTGGAACAGACATCAATCAAGTTGAATATGATAACATGTGCATTGTCCATTGCTTTATGGGCTCCATTCATCACGGCATCCTTAGCACATATTCTGTTGAGTACAACACGATTTAATCGCCTCATCTCAGTGAGCACATTAATTCAATTCAAATGGCTTTCTTACATGTCCTCAATAGCTTACCTAATCGGATATCTGATCGTAGATCGACAACTGTGCCGATTGGTACTGCAACAATGTCGATTCCAAAGAAGACGATCGCACGAGGAACCGTCGATCTCAGTTCCTCCAGCTGCATATTCCTGCTTGAATCCATCTAACGGTCGATAAGCCAAGCAATTCCCCACC